CTGACCTAACGATTCTGTCAGTGTCACTATTTCAAGCTCGGAGTTAGGAGCATGACATTGTTTTTATTTTATTTATTGCCAAATCCCAAATTGCCCTGACCTACAGTCATGGCTTTGAAAAATCAAACATTCCAAATGAAAAGAGAAATACTGGGGCATTATGGATTTGGAAGGAATTCATATTATGCTACAAAAATTCTGATATGTGGGTTACATCTGAGAAAGAGGTCAGAATGACTTGAATTTTCCACATATTCTGCAAAAAAAAAATCTCTTCTATAAATCTCTTGTTAGCCATTTGTATCACTCAGCAACAAATAACTGAGCTTTTGTATTTTCCTTACTAAGTTACTTTTGTTGTGAGTGAAGTGAAACCTACATAGAAAACATCCATTTCTTTCAGGAAAACTTTTTTTTCTTTTTAATTGACCTGCCATTTCATGTTAGAAACTTGATGGATTAAATAGTCTGTTGATTATGTTTCCAATTTCAGTTCCAACTCTTGTATTTGCCACTGGCTTATTGCTGATCAGAAGCAGATTCTGCATGGAGCCGACATGACGGTATGTCAGGCAGTAACATGAAAATGAGGGTTTTTTTTCCCCGTTTTATTTTATGGCTTTTCCATACTTGGCGGTAATTCACCTGTAGGGTAAAATTCCTTTTTGTTTATAGATTTTTTTTTCCACTTTCACTTTTGAAAAGAGAGGCAGAGAATTATTGGGTCTGTTTGCCCCTGGCTCTATGAATAAACTGGTTGGCAAACGATGCTGCAATCCATAAAAACTGAAACCTGGCTTCATTTCAATTCTGTTTGGGGAGGAGTAAGGAAGGGAGGGGAACTAACCGATAATTCTCTTGGAAATGGGAAAAAGCAAGCCAAAGGATGATTTTGAGAAGAAATCAGCCATCTGTCTGACACAACACGAGTCATACACTGTCCTCAACCTATACACCCCTGACTCCCATTGACAGGAGAGAGAGTTCTACTAAGGGTCATTTCCGATCATTACACTGACTATAATGTAGCTGTAATCACTGCTGAAAGGATCAGACAGTAATACTGAAGTACGTCTGAAGCATTTCCCTGAAGGAAAAATGCATAGGACAAAATTCATCCCAGTGCCCAGGGTCAGAACAGGGCCCCTTGGTATAGCTTAAGCCCCAAGCTAGCACACTGTGCAAGCTATGCTCTCTTCCTATGGCCGTGAAAAGGCTAGTGGGTAAGACAATGATGGGGCCAGAGCACAGGGAGGGTACACAGGATCCACATTTATCTGAAAGTGATAAAGAGGGGCTATGACTTAGGACATGACTTCACTACAGGAAAGATCGATGAGCAGTGATCAATCCAGTGGGGTTTGATTTACTGTGTCTACTATAGACATGATAAATTGACTGCCAAGCACTTTCTTGTTGACTTCACCAAAATGAGAAGAGTAAGCAGATTCAGTAGGAGAACGTCAGCTGTTGACTTGCCACAGTGAAGACACAGTGATACACAGGCCGAAGTAGGCTAACTTCAGCTACGTTATTTACATAGCTGAAGTTGCATAACTTAGATCAATGGTAAACAAAGCCTGATACTGTATCCCAGAAACTTGCATAGCAGCTGCCCATCTGTTTTTCATGCAGCTCCCACTGGAAGTCTATTTCACTTAAACAGCTCTCTCCCTGCCATTTCTCCTCCATGTCCACCACTCCCCACATACCACCTGCGCTTCATCCATGCAACAGCTCTGGCTTTATGCAGGCAAAGTGAATTCTGCCCAGAGTGCATGAACCTTCTAATCAAACGGACAATGTCATGATTCTGATCAATTTCCAACTATAGCCTCTGTTGGAGAAAGGAAATCTCATGTGCACCATTTACTGTTTGAACCACCAGTGTCCGCATGAATCAACAGTATAAAGCTTAGGCGTGCTTAAGTTATCTGACATTACTGCGTTCACAGGTCAAAGAGTGAAAGCAAGGGGAAAATAAAAGCTTAAAATAATTTCTGTCCCTTAACCTACCCTCCCACAATACAGTTACTTTAGCTGACAGAACTAAGCAAAGGACTGTTATAAAAGTAATTCTTAAGGATAAACCTAAGTAAGCTATACTAAAAGCAGGAAACTTAGGCACTTCTCATACAGAAATGATGGGGAGGGGCATCTTTATATAAATATTCAAATAAAATTTAGGGACTAGAACCCTGCATGTGAAATTTTAGGGCTAGAACTCATGCTCAGTGCTAGGCCTGTGGGGAAGAGGAAGAAAGTGGCTTAATTTCACCTTTGCACTTTCTTAGTCCTGGGGAGCTTGGGTCTGGCACCCACTCCATGTTAGAGCAGACTGCAGGTTGCTTTAACTTTTCCTGGCCAGTAACACTTGCCTGGGGCCAGTGTGCGGCTGGGGAATTCCTTAGGGCAAATTCTGTCCAGACCCCCTCCATCAAGATGGGAAAGGGTGGAGCAGCTGGTGTAGACCATGTTGTGTCACCAATGGATGCCCCCACATCAAAGAGATCCCCAGATATTCTTTTCCATTGCAGGAAAAGGCATTTTTTCCTTTTAGGGTTAGGGTTAGGGTAAGGATCTGCCACCTTCAAAGGCATTACTTTGTTTTTCAATAACAAACTGCACATCATTTCAGCTTTTCCTGATGGCATGAGAGACACCTGTCAAATTTTAGTAGAACACTGTGATGGGAGCATAGTGGGGCTTGCTGTTATGTGTTTAGCTCAAAGTGCTTTTAGTAAATAGCTAACGAATGTACTGCGGTTAGGAGCCTCAAGCCAGCTGACTCTTCCAGGGTTGGATTTGGTCCATTTGCTGAAACAACGCAAATATGTTCACACACAACATAATCCCTTCACACAGCAGTGGGAAATTTGATATGAAAAAAAAATCAAAAGCAATCAGAAAGGCGACACAAGTCAGATCAGAGCAGCAGAACTACACTTTATTATGTGTCTAGCTTACTATTTATTAAAGCCTAATACTGCCTCGGAAACTTTTCCATGCAGCAGCTGGCTGCAAGGGTATAACCCCTTTTTTAAAACTGCTTGAAATGTGGGCTATGTAAATACCACAGCAATTTCTTAAATGTGGACACGACATGCCAAATCCTTATTGGCACTAAATCTTTTTGCATGTACAAAGAATGCTCCCTGAAACATGAACTGCATGTATCTTATTGTGTAACTTTTGCAGGGCTTTCCTAAATGGTTTGACTTGTTTACTTGCTTTAGAAGTAATCTTGCTCATTCTGCTCTAAGTTTTCAGTTACACGTGGCTGCAGATTTGTGTGTGTGATGTAGAAGCTGGTTAATAGCATGGGAAACTTAAGCCTCATGCACACAGAAAGGCACATTGGGAGGACGACTCTTCCCTAGGCTGACAATCTGAAATGGTAAATCGGCTAGTCTCTGTAATTTCCATTTAAAAGTCAAAACTCCCTGGTTTCAGCAGTATTGAAGCAGACTTTGGACTTTTTAGGCTTTGTCTACACTGCTAAGGGAGGTTTAGGTTGGACATTAGGAAAACTTCCTAAGGGCTAGGACGGCTAAGCACTGGAATAAATTGCCTGGGGAGATTGCGGAATCTCCATCACTTGAGATATTTCAGAGCAGGTTAGATAGGCATCTATCAGAGATGATCTAGATCAGGGGTGGAGACCATTTCCTGTATCGGGGGCTGCTGATGCACAGAAAAGTCAGTCGAGGGAGACACAAAAAACCTCACTGATGTGGCCCCCAACTGAGAAGGAGAAAGACTCTCTCCACATTCCCCTCACACATCAGAGAATAGGGCAACTCAGACTAGTAGATTTTGTGTGTTCCAGCCCCACTGATATCCAATGCTGGGAGGGAGGAGGGGAAGCCCTGAGCATCAGGGGCCGGATCCAGGAAAGCTGGGGGTGAGCCTTAGATTCCCCACCCCTGCTTTAGATGGTGTTTGGTCCTGCCGGGGGGGCAGCGGATTGGATTTGATGACCTCTTGAGGTCCCTTCCCGTTCCAGGATAAATACTGTGTTCATTTGTTCTACGACTCTTAAGTTTAAAGAGCAGCTAGGGCAGTGCTTTAACACATGCTTTAACACAGCAGAATGGTCACAGTACCAGGGCTGGGAAAGAGCTCCCCCCGCTTGTAGGTAAACAGCCGGGAGCCTGTTTACACTGGCACTTTAAAGTGCTGTAACTTGCTGCGCATGGAGGGGGTTGTTTTTTCACACCTGTGAGCGAGAAAGTTACAGTGCAGTCCAGTCGCAATGGAGACAAGCCCTTAGTTTCTCTGCTTGGTCTGAGTACAGATTTGTGCTCATTAGTGCAGTGGCACTTGAAATGGGGCGATCTTCTGCTACAAATGGTGCAAATCAACCCTCACTTACCCACCAAATTATGAGCCACTGGTCAAACACACAAAGGACACCGTACTGCCTTTGATTAGTAATGAGTTTCAGTCACTCACCTGGACTGATTCTGAACTGACACAGGGGTGAAAGGCTTCATATCTGATTACCAATGCCATCCTGTTCTTGTTGCTGTTGTAATAGATTTTTTTTAACTTGTTCAAGATGCAGTCCTAACTCCCAAGCCTTCTCAATTAATTGTTGAGCAGAGACTAACAGGCTTTTTGCGTTGACTGGCACACTGTCTGGGAGCATCGACAGGTTCCTGGACAGCGTTACCCTGCCACGCCAGCTGACAG